GGTTGTCTGTCTCGCAATCACCTGACCTCGAGATTTGAGAATGAATCAGCCACCCACTTCTACTCCCTCGCACACACATCTCTCATGAGTCACATACAACTCGGGCCCTTTGCACAGTCAGACTGTCGACAAATTGCACCCTCTAAAGTTGGATCTCAGCCTGACACTGGAGCCACTGCACTCTACCTCCTCACATAAACTAGACATAAACACCAATCAGAAGCCGACCTTCACTTCCCTCATGGTACATAAAAGGGAGAACTTTTACCGGAATCTTGTTCTTTACCGGTCCGTCTCCTGGTGCGCCAATATCACGATCGACCTTGGTACAACAGCCCGTTTCGTCAGTAGGGTTGTGCCCTCCGTGATCTGACTATGGAAATATGAAGACCAAGATGTTGTGGCCTCTGGTATGAAAGCAGTCTCCTTTCGATTTATAGAAATGGGTTGACCTCGTTGTCGCAACTTGGTCTTGTTGTCAGGGCGACTTGGTAGAATGCACTTAGTCCGAAGTCGTCTGTCCTAGTAGTTGTCATGATTACCAGCATCAGACAGTGGACTTGGTACATTCTCAAATTGCCTAGATAAAGGATCTACCGCTAACAGGAGGAAAAGGGATCGCAAGGACGAAAGTGGACAGAAGGGGTTTTCGGCAATAAAGCGAAAATGTTGTCAATGCGTGATGCCCATTTCGAATAAACCAGTACAACTTTGGGGGCCTGGCAGTCAGGGACCTTAGCATACGAATAAGCAAACCGTCACAGAAATTTGACCTAGTGGCCAAAATGCATTAGAAATTCACTTGAGATGCAGCATGCTACTAGAGATAGGCGTCCACGATTTGCTCAGACAGCATGGGTTTAATGAAGGAGAGGACCCGTGAAGGGAAGGCCTGATATCTGCAAAAATGGAAATCAGAGCTTAAGCCCTCCGCTCAGCGAAGCGGCAGTGTATGTGTTTCTAGGGCCTTGAGAAACAGCGCCTGGAGTGAAATGCACAGAGGGACTGGACCCGAGTGAAATCGGTCAACCAGAAAGATAAGGAATGGATCTACGGGACAATGAAAGGATCCGGATTGGAGGCCCGAGTGGGATAAGCCCATCGAAAGAAAGGGGTCGGGGTAAAAAGCAAGTGTGATGGGAGCACACTAGATTGGCCACAAAAGGGCACACATTTCGGCGATTGGATTGTAAACAAGTCAGAAGTTGTGATGGGGCGGCAGTAGGATAAGAGGGTAAAGAGTAGATAGATAGGCCAGGTAACAAAGAGCAGTAATAGTATAGCCGTTTTCCGCGGAACGTTTGTCGAGGGATTGACTTCACTTGTCTCTTTGACGAGTTCGTGGCTCGGTGCGGAGAATGGCAGCACTCACTGATGATGCCAGCAATGCCGGCGAAACATTTGAGAATTTACCAAGTCCACTGTATGATGCTGTGAATCATGACAACTACTATGACAGACGACTTCGGACTAGGTGCATTCTACTAAGTCGCCCTGGCAACAAGACCAAGTTGCGACAACGCGGTCAAGCCACATGTATATGGAAAGTTACAAAATTGGCCCTTCGAAACCTAGGAATCCTACCCCGTTTCGCCATCATAATCCCTACCGAATCAGTTTGATTGACTAGCTATTTCTCTGAATGTCTGTTATCATGAGTCTCTTTAAATACAGTTTTCAATGTATACCACTTATCGATAGGCCCTTTCCTTGCCTGTCAATAATGCATCTACATAATTACAAAGTAGGTTGAAACCAAGTGTTAAGTGGTCGGCGCCCACTCGGCTTTGAAGCCCGAAGAAGTCCTCTACCGATAATGTCATTAATTCTGGGTCTACATGACTTTATTTGCGCAGCAGCAGCAAACGGACTTTATCCGGACAGACTTTGAATAATCTCCGCGTCTCCATGTCGCTCTTGAATTTGATCCCACTACCTATTCTGCCTAGCCACATTGCGCAGCACACCCTACTTTTCGCCATCCTCTGCTGCTTTTCCAGCCCTTCACCTCCCTCCTCCCAGTTCATTTCTATACTCATCGTTCGCCTCTATGCTTCTGGCTGATAGTTATGTACACCTTTCGGGTCTATATAGGCTATGCAGTACACTACTTCCCCTTCTTTAATATCAATCTTTTTCAGGTCAGGTCCTCTTTACCATACGTCTAAATGTCAAATCATAACCGTCTTAAGTGCCGCAGCCTTTTTTGCGTAGACTGTGGCATTGTATGTGTCTCTTGTCCCCGCCTGACTTTTAAAACTTGTTTTGGGATTTAATTTAGCATCATTGGGATCTATTATTATTTAGGAGTATGATAATCAGACCACTAAGGAAGGCCTGGCTAGTCGGATCAGTTCCAATTGCGTTTGCGATCTGGCTGAAGCATGTGGGGCCTAGTTTGTGAGGAAATATGCAGATGATAAAGCTATTAATGGCCTACTCCCCTTTCCTTATTGCATCTTGATTTAATGTGTGCAAATAATTCAATTTATGAATAAAACTAAGATGCATGCTTTCCTCCTCAGTTTCACAGGCAGCGCCAACAACATCAATGAGCCTTGTCATTCTTTGCAACAGGCTTTGACTTGTCAATGAGACAAGCGAAGTCCATCCCCTGATAGACTTCCCGCCGAACGGCTCCGTTATCACTTTTCCTCCTGTGCTAGTTCACATATTTACCTCCATTTTTATCCTCGTATCTCACTCTCTCTCTATCAAAACTTATAAATTGTTTACCTTCGACTAGATGTGTGCCATTTTTTGCGAGTTTGGGTTAATATGCCGCCCCGCTTGATTTATCGAAATTTTTAATCCAGCTTGGATATTTTTGTCTAAATACTACTTTATTCAGCTCCTACCTTAATTTGCCTCGTTCCCTTGACGATTCGGCTATTATCTTCTTTCGTTGGATGGGGAAATTTTCAAACTGAAGGTCTTACTTTGATTAACAATTGCGAAAAACTATGGGATGAGCAAAGTTGACCTTACTAAACTCGATAAAAAAGGTTACCCCTCTAGAGTAATTGAATATAAGCAAGTTAGGTGTTGTGATAAAAATAGGCATCAGGACAGGAGTAATAAAACATCAGTTTGGCACAAGTCAAAGAATAGGCTTCATTTGTCTCTGACAAGTTGTAGCTTGTTGATAAGAGTGAAAAGGCTTACTACCAATGCCAGCGAAGCATCTGGGAATGTATATAGTCAATGGTCTGACGCGGGAAATTATAATACATAGTATGGCAGAAGACTTGTGATAAAATTCATTC